GGGATTGTATCGGGGGATTGGGGGGGTGTCGTGGGCATCATGGGGTGGGGGGGTGGGGGTGAGGAAGGGTTGTTGAAGGGGGGGCGCAGGGGAGAGTGTTCGGGGTTTACGATTCGGTGTTTGGGGTTCACAGTTTTATGTTTGTTCTACAAGAGGTTTCAGGCTTTCAGGTTTCTTGTTTGGGGTCCTGTGTTTTGGGATTGCGCACAGGAAGAGGGGGACAGTATTGTGCAGAGGTCGCACCGAGGTGTTTGGGCTGGTTTCAAGTTGCGCATCCCAAACTATGTTATCACCTCGCCGCCAACTGCCACTGTCCGTTACGCACTTGCAGAATACAATCATCACAGGCATTCCACATATGCATTGGCATGTGACACGCCAGCCTCCGGACCTGCGCCATCTTCCAATCCCCCCCCCCCCCCCCCCCCCCCCCCCCCCCCCCCCCCCCCCCCCCCCCCCCCCCCCCTCTCCCCGGCCTCTTTCTCAAATTTCGGTGTTCTTGCAAACAGGCCGACAGGGCTTCTTTTTGCATTTCCATGAATTAATGTGCATTGTTCGTAATCAGGGAGGCCTGTCCTTCTCAGGACCTTCGTCAATTTTTTTTGGATCGGCTTTTGGAATTTCATCTTTTCGCAATTCGGGAAATACATGGGAATTACGCGCGCCTTAGCAAGTGCACTAGGAATTTGGGTCGAAAGTTAGGAATTCCAGAATAAGCGGAACCTGACGTGTCCTTTCTTGTAGATGAATGTTCTCGACTTCGTCTTTGAAAACTCTGGGAATTTTTGTAGGAATCTGAATAGGTATAGGACTTTTTCCCACGCTCGCTCTACGTGCAGATATGGTACTTTTCAACTTCGAATTAGCTGTAACTGTTTCGGTGCCTTTTTTGCCTTCACGTCAGCGCCATGCATGCGAACCTCCCCTCCCCGCTTCCCTCGTTACCTTCGACACTCTTCTTCGCGCTCACGCTCCTTTCTTTGTAACCGTTTTCCATCTCTCCTTCGCCTCGTGCCCCGTTTCTCTTTCTTTCGTCTGAATCTTGGTTCCGTTTCGCACTATTCTTCATGCTCTTCTTCTTCCCGCTCTAATCCTCGTGCCGAAATACTCTGTCGACTCCCTCTTCCTTCCGTCTAGCCAAGGAGACGCGCCGTGTAAGAAGTACACGACGATTCTGATTGGCTACGACGGGCGATTATCCCCGAACTTCCCCCTGCCCCTCCCTACCTCAGTCCTAACCCGTCCTAATGTCTATCTCCTTTTCCGCAGCTATAAATTCTGCAAGCACTCCCGAAAATCCCTCTCTCGACTCATCAGCCAGCTTCCAGGAAGCAGTGGCTAGACGGTATGTGGGAAGGTGCGAGTCGAAAAGTCCCGATGAGCTGAATGTTGCCCTGGCGGTGGAGCGTTGGATCGCCCAACGAACTGTGGGATCCAGGTCAGACCATGCAGAGGCTAAGCTGGCGGGGTGTCGATCGCTATGGTGGATTAGCACGTGACGACCGGGATCGTCAGGGCTTGTGAGAAGTTAGAATCGGAAGTGAGTGGGTATATGGCCTGCGGCCATGGTGGAATTTTATGACGGAAGTTCCTCTTTCGTCTCAAAAT